ATATATATATATATATATATATATATATATATATATATATATATATATATACATACATACATACATACATACATGTTTTATTCTATTATAGTCTAAATAGTCAGTATTTTTGTCCACAATTTTAGGAATGATGGAAAACCTGTAACCATTGACTTCCATTGTATTTATTTTCCCTTCTATTAAAGTCAATGGTTACCGGAAATGTGTTCAACTGAATAAAGAAACACTTACCCATCCGTGTGTGCAAACCTTTGACTAGTAGTAGATAAAAAATGCAGTATATACATAAACATAATAGATATATAAACACATTTTCACCATGATTTATCCAGTCAGCACCAGTTTTCCAAATGTAAACATCTGAAACGTATAAACAGTAATGAAATATAAGCGGATTCGGCTTGTTCTATTCTATTGCAGTCTAAATAGTCACTGTTTGTGCATTTTTGTGTGAATTATCCCTGTAAATTTTGTTTCGTGAGAGTTACTAAGGAATAGATAAAGTTTTTTACAAATTCTGATCACGTTTGCGTCTCTCTTTAAAACCTATTGGCTCACTACTGTGTAGTTCTACAAGACGTCTGCTTTCAGTACTCGGGCTTTTTTGCTTTAAACAGTTGTTCTGTGCTCATCTGCATGACTGAATTCTCTGAGAGAATCAGAGCAGTGTTTTGACCAGGTCTCAGTTGAACATCTCGTCGATTTTCAGCCAGGAAATGGCAGCTTTTTATAATGGGGGTTTTGTTCTTATTAACTGGCTCCACTTTGGGGGAGGAAAAAAAAAAAGGCTGTGATAATTATTGTGTTGCGTTCGACTTGTAACTTGTGAAAGTTATGATATAAATGATTATAAATGAAGAAAACAATGTTGTAATAAATCTTTTAATAGATCTTTGAAGGCAGATTTTGTCTTATTTCTTTGAATCTGATTACTTGGGTTATTTTTTGCTGCTGTTAAGTGTTTATTTTATGCTTTGTAAACCCTGACATCTAGTGGAGAATCCTGGAAAAAACAACTCCTTGAGCTTCTGCCAAAACATTTAACAGTCATATTTCAAAGATTGAAAGGAAAATGAGTACCATACGTCTAATTATGATCGTAATTTAATAGAATTATAATAGTTAATCATATTGTGCTTATATAACAGTTTTTATTTTCTTTTAGAGTTCAACAACAAAGAAGACTACAATTTTAATACATTTTAATTAAATTGTAAAAACTAATGTGTAAATAAAATGATTTTGACTTTTAATAATCACAAATTAATTCCAATAAAAATGTTATTACATCTAAATTAATGTTATGGATCAGAAATAGATTTTTAGAATCCTTAAATGTGTTTATATATATTTATATACTTACTGGCCACTTTATTAGGTACACCTTATATTCTTCAGAGATTTTGCTCCATATTGACAGGATAGCAACAGAGTTGCATCAGATTTGTCGGCTGCACATGCATAATACGAATCTCCCATTCCACCACATCCCAAAGGTGCTCTATTGGATTGAGATCTGCTGACTGTGGAGGCCATTTGAGTACAGTGAACTTATTGTCGTGTTCAAGAAGCCAGTCTAAGATGATTCATGCTTTATGACATGCTGCGTTATCCTGCTGGAAGCAGCCATCAGAAGATGGAGACACTGTGCTCATAAAGGGATGGACATGGTCAGCAGCAATACTCAAGTAGGCTATCATGTCTATATGGAGCAAAATCTCTTTTCCCTTGTTGAATCTACTGTATGTCAAGAAGGATTGCTGCAGTTCTGAAGGCCAAAGGCGGTCAAACCCGATGTAAGGTGTACCTAATAAAGTGGACGGTGAGATATAAATTAGATACAATAAAAATCACGAACTAATACAATTCACCGACAAGAAATTATCAGGAAAACATAATTATACAATAAACAAGTATATGAATAACAAGGTAAAATAAGACTTAAATACGCACAAACATAAAGTGCGAATAATAACAATAATGATAATAATAAAAACAAATACCAGGATAAAAAGAAATCATATATATATATATACATCTATA